AGGATCTGAGTTCCTGCTCCCCTGGGGTAGTCTACCTGCATGACAATACAAAGCACTAACCAGAATAGTAACGTTATTTTAAAGTGGGTGTTTGCGTATGTTAGGTAAAGGATCAGAAAATTTCCTTTATTTTTTTTATTGCTATAAAGACGTACTAACTTTCAGAACTTCTGTGAAGTCCGCAGAAACTTTTTTCCAAATACAATGTGTGGAAGTGTCGATAGTGTGCTCTTTTTGTAGGATAGACTTGCAAAATAACAGTCTTCTAAATGGTGGTGGTGATGCACAGGTTTGGCGCTTTCGCACTGATTGGCCTTAAATTAAGCCCTCTACACTGTTTCCCAGAGTAGTTGCTGCAGGACCCTTTTTTTGCTAAAAATTTATCCCTGCTCTTCAGGACTTGGCTGTTCTTGGTAAAAACATCCTTTTTTTTATTTTATTTTTTTTTTTTTATTGGAACATCTCCTTCAATATTTTCTCCTTAGGTACAGTTGAAATGTTTAGTTTAACATCTTTGCATGGCTTAGAGTATTTCCCTTGAATTTTTCTTCTGGTTTCAAAAATCGCTCTGTCGTGACACTGTACGTTTTGTGAATGACGGTGCAACAGGAGCAACAGCTCCTGTCTGGTGTGGTTTTCCAGTGATCTAGATGATGTCGCTCTTGGCTCATGGATAAAACAGGAATGAAGTATGATACTTGAAGGTTTTATTTCATCAAGGTGGTGAGCCTTTTCTTCGTGGCGTCATTCTGACTAATTTCAGAGCGTAATTTGCCTGAGAACTTTGTTTTTTTAAGGCTGGAAATTACAAAGTCAGTCTATAGGTAGTCTCTGTGAACAATCTCTGGGGATTTAATTTGGCCGCCACCATTTACATTACACTTAGAAATAAGAAAAAATGGGGGCTTACCCATTGCTGCTAGTGAATATGCTGCGAGCTGCCTGGAGGATGGGGACAACAATTAAGTTGAATTCAGGGGCCGGATTTTCAATTTTTTTTTTTACACTGAATAATCTTAAGGATGCTAACCTTGGTTTTTCAAACAGTAGCACCGGTCTGGTGCAGTTGCCAAACGCAAATTGTTTTACAGACTTGTCGATTGTGTTGATCCTGAACTTTGGTATTTGCTGGGGTGTGTTGTTAGAGCATGTATGTGCTCTCACGTGCTTTTGAGCCTACTGATGGACTAAATTGTGCATCAGCAGACTGGGTGCTGGCCGGTGTTGGAGCTGATAACGCGCACTTCAGAGCCTGGGCCGAGCACTTCCCTCCTGGGCGTGTGTGTGAAGGCCGGGCTGCTCTCACAGAACAGTGCTTTACACGCATTTCAGCCCTGTCCTGGAAGCAACTGTCGTTTAAATCCTGAGCTGGGAAGCGGCAATGTTTTGTGCTTTGGTGTGCGTGGTGGGAGGAGCACTGCTACCAGGTGTGGGTGCTGCTTATGTCCTTCGTTTTTATCCTTTTCTCTGTGGAGCAGCGGACAAATACACGGTGGACCTGATACGGCTACACGCAGACTTTGGTCTAGGTTAAATATGAAATTTGTTAGGCTACCGTGTGCAATCCTTAATCTTTTTCTTGAAAAAAAAATTAAGAAAATACATATTGTTCATTTAACTCCCTCAATCAAGCATGAGACAATAGAGGAGAGCAGTGGCGTTTTTGAGTTACGGCACTGTCTTGGTTTGCACAGTTCTGTACAGCCAGATTGATACAAGCTTAGTCGAAATTTTCATTTAGAGACATTCAAAAGTGAATGCTTCCAAATGTCTTGCTGAATTTAGAACAGCTGTTGTTCCTGAGATTTCATGTGAAATTTGAGGTGTTAAAATTATTTTAGAAATAGTTCTAATTTGAGGGGTTTTTAGTAATGCTATGTTTCCATGCTGACATTCCTTTGAAAAAAATGAAGGAAAATTATCATCTAGACTCTGATTTAGCATTTAAAAGCTCTGATCTGAAAAAGTGTATGTAGGGGTTCTTGGTTTTTTGGTGGTGTTTTTTTTTGGTTGGTTTTTTTTTTTTTTTTTTTTTTGAAGGTAAGTAAAAATTGTATGTTGTTTCTGGGGTGAGGCTAGCAATAAAAGTTTAGCATTAACCAGGGTCTGACTTGCAAAGCTGTCTCTTCGTGCCCTTTAATTTTTTAAGTACTTGCAATAAAGAAAACCCCTCCAGATTGACAGAACTTTGTATAAATAACATAAAGCCAAGTGAATTTGGAAGTTCATGAAATTAAAGGAGGACTTCAAACTACTTAAATGACTGCAATGACATTTGGTAGTTAACAGAAAAATAACAGGAGAGCTGGTGTGGTAAGGAAATGGTTATTGTCCCCTCTAGTGGGGTTTTTTTGGTTTGGTTTTGTTTTGGTTTGGTTTTTTTTTTTTTATACAAGGAAGAGTAGTGTGAGCTTGGCAATAAACTCAGCTCCTCAGTACCCAAGTAGTTTGTTTCCCTAAATTTTAGGCTTGAGTAGTAAGGCAAGTGAGGGCAACTTGCAGTCATCTAATGAGCCAACTGTTTCGTGTTTGATATTGAAGAAACATCATGCGCACCCTGATGAACGTCTCTCAATTCCTGTATGTTGCTGTAAAAGCTGTGGAGTGTTAATCAGAAGCGTTGCCCAGTGGCTCTCCTATCCGGGTTGGGGAACGGAGTTAGATTATGCGTGGTTTTGGAGAGCCACTATATATCTGATGGCTGATAATGTTTACCAGCTTGCCTTAGGTTTTAGTGCTCAGGTTTGAATTCAGTAGGTGGCTGTCTTCAACAGTAGTAATCTGAGAGCTATTTGTCAGTAAATATAAAAATACACATCTAAAAATATAACCTAATACCTGCAATTCAATCGCAACCTTGCCGTTTAATTTCCTTGAATGCTTATAGATACCTCTTCAGTGTGATTTGCCAGAAGTCAGTATTTCTTATCTTAGTATCTTAAATGATAGATAGTGTGTGAAACTTTTACTGTTGTTTTCCATTTGAAAAACGGAAGAATGAGCCTTATCCTGCCCCAAGCTAAAAATATATATAGTAGTGATCCGAGTTACTGGCTTAGGCTTCCTGTCCGCTTTTAGTAAGCCCTCCTGAGAAGCCATCTCTCTTGTCATGGTCCCGGTTTGTCTCTGATGATTGCTTTCTGGTGAAATGGCTGGGAGAAGCAGGCTTGTGGGGAGAGCCCAAGCGAGAGAGCAGTAAAGGAGCGCGTGCGACTCGGCCGTGCTTGCCGCGCTGCTGCCTGTCTGGCAAAACTCTCCCTGCAGCCCGGCGTGACGTCGAGGGCAGAGAGGCTGCTGGAGAGGCTGTTGTCACCCGCTTGGCTGGTCCTCCTGCCAGCTGGAGATGGCTTCAGCAGGCAGAGGCATCGCCCGCCTCTCCTGTGCCCAGAGCAGGGTGCAGCGCTCGTGGTCAGCACTGCTTTCCACTGCTCGTCACCATGAACACACGCGCGGTGAAGGAGTAGAGAAATGGCGTTTTCTTAATGTGTGCAAAACCCAAGGAATTCAGTTGTGAAATTCCCAAGCAAGCTCTACCTCTGACTGAGCATTGGAATTATTGGGTGTGTGGCTTACTCGTTATGTTTTGGATTACTTTTTTTCTTTTAAGTGAAATGGGCAGTGGTATGAGGATGACAACTTGCATGCAGAATTGCAAGAAAGTCTAACTTTCCAAGTTAATATCCGTGCTTAGGGTAGTAAATGGGAATATTGTTGTTGGCCTCTTGTAAGGTTAGAAATTGTTTTCCTGTGTATCTTGCGAAGGAATATAAGGAACAAAATAGTTCAATAGGAAAAGGGTGTAGTTGTAAGAAGGCATGCTTACATGAGAATAACATCACCACTGCAGTGCCACAGTTAGAGAAAAGGAGAATTTACTTTTTTTGATTAGGCAGTTCCTTTCTCCTCCTTTCACAACTTGAAGGGAAAGTTTCCTTTTTGTTTAGATTTTAATGACCTCATTCCTTCATATGAAATCCTTGTAAATGAAAGCCTTGTTTTCTCCTAGAGTTGTATTTAACAGAATGCATTCATAGAGAGGAATAATTGCACTTAGCTTGAATTCAAGACCAGTAGTTTGCAGGAAACAACTATCATGTAAAAGAGTTTCCTTCCTTGCATAATTGTTTCCATAGTACAAGCAACCAAACAAAACCTTGCTACTGAAAAAGTATTAATTTAAAAAAAAAAAAAAAGCCCAAACATTATCCAAGGCTCACATCATTCTTTCTTCTGTCGTTGTGTGATATTATTGGGTCGTCTTGTTGTAGTCAGTCAGCTTTGTTGTCTCAATTAATGAGTGGGTTTCTTGAGAGGTGAAACTCCAACGAGGAGATGTGTTGTTAATAATCCGTGCCCTTTATCCTCTTAATTCTGGTGCAATCATCTATCTTTTTTGAGCAAATCAGCTACAATAAAGAACAAACAGATGAAGTTAGTGTGTTTTGCAAGTGTCATGTTTAGAAAACATTAGGATTTTTTTCTTCCTGAAAGAGACACTTATTTCAAATTTTAGACCTGAGTTAAACCTTAGGGAAGGGATGTGTGCTTCCGTTTCCATTCTTTTTTTAAATGAATTGGACATGTTATGTTTTCTGAATTGATCTGCTTGTCAGATAAATTTAAGAACTGGATTTGCAATTTGCATACAGAAGTCTTTGCTGGTGTTTGTTTTTTCCAACAGTACCTGCTTGTTTTGATGATACAGAAGCCATTTAGAGAGCTAAGACACATCCCATCTTTCTTTTTCTCTGTTCCCTCCTTTTTCCTTTTTTACAAATGAACCTAAGCCACACTGCAAACTTTCATAAATTAAGTGAAAATGGAAATTTCCCTATTTGACTAGCGAGGATGGAATCACAATTTAGGATAGAATATTTAATGAGGTCACTAAAATGGTTTCATATTACATTTATTTCATTCTCTAATACTAAATCTGCATGAAGACAGCAATTTTTGCATTTCTGATACTGTGTAGTAACTCTGTCTGTTCCTCTTTTCAGATATTGTGGACGGAAGTGACCTGAAGCAATTTTTTGAGAACAATTATTCTCAAATTTATTTTATATTCTATGAAAACTTCATAACACTGGAAAATAGCTTGAAGCAAAAAGGTAAGTTTTAGAGTTTTGCCAGCAATTGTTGAGTCAGTTTTCCCTAACTGTTCTCAAAATTCTGTTAGAACTTATCTAATGATTATATTGTCTGCAGTTATCTGTATTTGCATTAATCGTTTAATGCATTATTAATTAGTATTAATATTTTAATTTTATGGTATCAGAAGAGACAAGCATGGAAAATAGCTCTCAGAAATACCTAAGTAACTGAAAAGAATTCTAAGTACGTTTTTATGGCTGTCATTTCAGCACAAAAATCAGGCCTTGTGCGTTTATATACGTATCCTCTCGTCTTGTTGTGATGTATTGAAGGCCTTCATCCTACAATTAAGCATATGTCTGTTCAACTGAATCGGTGTCAGAGGTGCCCAGAACAGAGCTCAGTGGTGAAGCTGTGTCGGTAGGAATAGCTCTTTGCTTGGAGATGAGCGCGATGACAATGCTGTGCAGATCTCGGGCTCGATGGGTCCCTCATTCATAATCAAGAGAGAGGCACTGATTTTTGGAAACATCTTGCTCTTTTGATATTAGATAAAGGTGAAGAAACATAAAATGAGTGCAACAGCTTTGACTTCAGCTGAATAACAGCAGCGTAATTTCACTGTCTGTCTCATACCCTGTATTTACGGCAAACAATATTCTTTTCTGTCTTGCAGGGAATAAATCACAAAGGGAGGAGCTGGACTCCATTCTCTTTCTTTTTGAAGTAAGTTTTCCATACCATGAAACTAATTTTTATTGTAAATCTCATTGTCATTATATGCTTACTTACACCTTTACGATGAAGGGTGAAACCAGGTGTCAATCAAAATGACAGGAGCTGTCCATGACTATACAAGGTGAAAGGCAGAAAAGAACTAGGGTGTGCATTAAGTTTTCAGATATAACAGCAGTAAAAATTTTATTATGCAATGGAAATGTTGGTTGAGTGAATATCCAGAGTTAAAGGATTTTGCCAAAATGACTCGAAAATTATACAGTAACATGTCTGTCCTAAGGAACTAATAGTATTTTTTTTAATGAAATATGTTCTTGCTTCTGTATTTTGGGGGGGAGGGGGAGGGGCTAGTTCAAAACACAAGTACTTTTTCCCTTTATCAGTATAAAGTTCAGTGTTATATTTATTTTGAGTGTGTCACAGCACGAGTTTGGGATCTACTCCTTTCTGCTGGGGGCATCTATTATGATTGCAGTATTTGGTCTTGCAGCACAAGGAAAATAAAAGGATAAGAATTGTCCACTGTCTGCATATCAGTTTGATCTGAGTTCAGTGGAATGTCTTTTACTTCCAGAAACGTAATCTTCCCAGCACTGGCAGTCACAGCATTTGCAGTGTCTAGGAAGGAAATATTAGCTAGTTAACTTTTGCATAGTCAAATTAGAATGTCTTTAACTTGAAGAAGAATAGACTGTGATAGATCATTTTCCAAGGGATCTCTTTAATTTGAATTAAAACTTATTTGGATGTGAGAAAATACCACTGGACTAGATGAAAGCCTAACGTATAAAAAAGTTTTTATAATGCATACTGGAAGCCTTAGCATAAGCTCTACCTGTCTCTGAAGTCAGAGATCAGTGGTGCCTTCAGTTGTTTGGGTTGTTTTTAAGAACCCATTAGGTAAATAAAGGGCCTGATTTCTTTCTTAAGGGTAAATACAGGCATCTTCTATTGATTTCTTTTTGTTAATCCAGCTGCTAACTTTTGACTTGAATATTGCATCATAGAGATGTTATCTTTATGTTGTGGGTTATTTTTTGGTGACAGGAAAAAAAAACCCCAACTTGCAGTGGGACTCTAGAAATTAAACCGAAGGTTAAATGTTCTCAACTCTTATCCCTCTCTAAAAATGAAAAAAAAACCCCAAACCAATAACGTCAGAAGTGTATGGCTTCATTTTTTTTGCATTAATGTATAGTTTATAGTTAGAATAATATTTATATTTACGATAAGAATGATACTGCTCAGCCTAACATGCCTCTAATATGAAAAATTGCCTTGAAAATGATGACATGAAATCCTGGAGTTCTGTGGTCTCGTCTTCTGACTTTCATGATGTAGCAAGTTCATCTCCCTTTTCTTCTCACTCCCTTCTCTCCTTTAACTACCAGACTGCATTGTCAGACTGAAATCTGAAAGTCAAATTGTGTTTTCTGCTGCTTATGGTATTAGTAAAAGAGTCTGCTTTGGGATTCTGCAAGAGGCAGTGTCAAAGAACATGAGCTCATATATCTGCTAGGGCTGTATTTGAGGCAGGAGAAATTCTTCCTCCTCCTCTCTCCCTACCCCCAGTGGAGAAGGTATCACCACGTTTACTGAGCAAAGCTGTGCAGTTTAATTGGACCTCATTAATACACTTACTCTGTGGTCTTGAATAAGTAATTAAGTTTCTGTGGCTATGTCATTGAATGGAAAATAGCTAATGCTTGTTCACCTGGTTAGAGTGAATAAATACTTTTTTAAATAAAAAGTATTCCTGGGTCTTGAAAACGGGTGGCTAATATCCACCCACTTAATACTGCTTAAAAACATCAGGAGGACATCCTGTGTGAAGAAGAAGAAAAATACATATTTATATATGAACAAAGTGTTGCTTTGGGCCCCAATCAAGGAGAATAATATTACAGCCTAGTTGTCATCAGCTTTGAGGAAGAAGGAATCATTTAAGATTTTTGTGTGGAATTTGGAGCTATCCGCCTCATGGTGTTTTATCTCCTGGAAGTAAGTTTGCAATCTGTTTATAACACTAACGCTTGATAACTTAACGCGTTGTAGGAAAACGGCTTTTTAGAGGGCCTTTGAACGCACAGAACAAGAGTACACCCGCCTGAACACAGGACGAGAAAAAATGTAAATGCTAAGTAATTAAACATTCATATTGTAAGCCATAGGAAACAAAACTAATTGATTGTTAAGCTTGCCATATTTAATCTGATGTCAGCGTGAGCCAGAGGTTCCTAGAGTTTTCTTCTAATTAGCTAAATAGGTAATTACTTAGGATTAACAAATCCTGAATCTAGGTGCTGAGGGTTAACAGCTTAAAAATCAATAAAAAAATTTATGAAAGGAATTGACTTCTGCCTTCTCTGGTATAGTTAGTGGGTGTTTTGCTGTTGTTCTTGAGTGACACCTAGCGTGTATGTTAAGCAAAAGTAACAAATGCCTTTTCCACAAGTGCTTTGAAAACTAAGTTGACTGGGTTGTAATTTACTGAAGTCTTAATTTTACACATCAGCTACATAGCTTGGCCACTCAGCAGTAACATCAAACAACATATTAATCAAAGAAGAAATATTAATCAAAAGGGAGCCATATGAAAGGTTAACAGTTCATTTTGTAAAGTGCTTTTTTACAATTAATATTACAAAGGTCTTAGATCTAATTTTATATTCTTCAAGGTGCTTTGGCCTTGTGTTTTTCCAAATAGATATTCATTAAATGATACAGCAGCTCTAATTATCTGTATGATTTTTCCCTGTTTCAGCTAAAAGGCTGAAATGATGTAAAAAAACAAATTTGTTTTTTCTCTGGTGAGGCTTAGTTATCTCCAGATTTGTAGTACATTTTCAGAACATGTTTCTTACACCACTGGTCTCTCTGATTTGGGGGCATTGCTTGGAGGAGCTGTCAGCTGAGCTCTGTGTGTCACAGAACTCACGAAACATGTGCTACATCTATGTAAGTTTTCTAGGTCCCATAAAATACTGTGCCAGCATTTAATTGTGAAAGCTTGGTGTGGTTTTTTTTTTTTTGTAATAAAGTATTGTTTTCTTGCAGCATCAGATACTAATTCCTCCGACACTGCATTATTTTTGCATCTGTAATAAAATAGAGCAGACTGATGGTTTTGATATAATACATAGATCAATTTTTTTTCCATTCTCTCTAATTATGCTTAATTAGCTAAGAACAGTCACACCTCTTATGCTGATGCTGTCATAAAATCCATTACACTGATTTAACAGTTCCACTGCATGAAATATTTTATTCCTGGAAATTTTCAGGTACTCTTTCTAACGTAGTAAAGCTTCCCAAAGCGGCCCTTACAGTAGCCGCTCTTGTTGCTGGAAGTTTTTCAGATACTGTCAGCGTAGTTCGGGTCTCACTGCAGCTTTGGAGGTAGCTGAGAAAGGGGGGTTGGGTACTCCCACTTCCCACAGATGATACGTATGCTGAAAAAACCTTCTCAGTATGGATAGTCTTCTTTACTTGCTTATTTTTTACCAGTGCGTGTTAACGTAACATAAAGTGCCCTTGTGTTTTACGGGTCCTTATTTATAAAAGCGTACTGTGTTTTTTCATATAGTCTGTACAAAGTGGCTTGTTTATGCTGTACTCTCATAATTTCTGTAAGTCCATGCTTTGTATGGAACATCTTGTTTCTTGAACTGGGTGAAAATGTGAGCAGTGCGAGTCCCTGAGTCCAGACACAGAGTAAGCACAATATTTTTTTTTTTTGAGAATCTACAGAGTTATAACTCTGGAAAGGTATCTAATGTGACTCATACCAGCCTTGCTGTGATTATGCTTCTAGACCCTTATATCTGTCCAGCCTAGCCTTACACCGTACACCTCTTGCCCTGCAGAAACGAGGAGAGGCTACCTGTGGTTATAAACAGGAATAGACAGAGGGGTCTGTTTTGACCTCCTCCTCCGATGAGCAGCAAAATTTTAACATGTCATTCCTAGGTCGGATCTGGAGTATCCTGACTATGTACACAGCGGGTAGATTTAAATATTAAGTGGATGTAAACCAGAATATAAATGCGCTAATATTCTCTGCAGTATTTGTATTTTACACACTCAAACTCATGGTCTGCTTTGGCTTTTGTATAACACCAAGTGTTTTTCCAGTGGTGATAATTGATAGACTGTTAGAACTTGCCCAACCATGCTTTGAGCTCTGCATTTTGTAGCAGTAGCTACTGGTTTTAATACAGTATCGTAGTCCTTAGAAGCACATCTAAAGATAAGCTACAAATGGCCACATAATCAGAAGATTAAGGTGTGGTATAAATTCACTGAAACGGGGATTGGTCTGCTATCAGAATGTGAATGTGACGATTACAGAAGCAGCTGTTTGGCCTAAATTTATTACTGCAGATGTGCACAAGTTACTTGTTCTGCAAATGCTAATGATAATTCAGTATAGGCTTATAATTGGCTATAGTCTGTTAGCAGCCCTTTTGCAAAGTAGATTGCAGCCCATACGCAGTAAATACACTGCATCCGTCAGGGGAACACCTGCCGTGGTGGAGGGCGACCAGACAGCTCTGTGCACGGACGCAGCCTAGGAATATAGAATAGAATACAATCACTTTGGTTGGAAAAGACCTTTGAGATCATTGAATCCAACCTTTAACCTAACCCTGCCATCCCACCACTAAACCCTGTCCCTAAGCACCTCATCTATCCTTTTAAATACCTCCAGGGATGAGGATTCGACCACCTCCCTGGGCAGCCCATTCCAGAGCCTGACAACCCTTTTGGTGAAGAAATTTTTCCTAATGTCTAGCCTAAACCTGCCCTGGTGCAGCTTCAAACCATATAAGCTGCTTGTTTAGTGCTGCTGAGTAATGCACATAAATATGATCTCTAAAATATATAACTTTGGTTCATTCTGGACTGAGATTGTTGTGGATATTTTAAATACTAAATTCTTACACCACGTTGTAGGTCTACTTTACATAGACTACCGTGTGGATTAG